TGTTGAATCAAGTACAAAAGCAATTTCATGCCTTCTTAACCTGTTTTCTTCCCCTGACATTTGGTTTCTGACATTACTTCTAATTTGGTAAAAGTCTCCAGGCTGAACAAGTTTGAAAAGTACGTGGCCAGTTTAAAAAAACCTACCTTACAGTATATAACAAATTTATTGGCCTTTGAAAGTGGGGGGGAAGACAGCCTGCTGGAACTCCTCCAGTACAACCGTCCTAGGAAAGAGGAATGATGTTCACTCATGTTCCACTCCATGTGAAGCCTTTTAGGAGAGAAAAGGCCCCAATACTGCAAGATTTCCCTTCTGCAGCCCCTCAAACTTGCAGGAAGTGAGGACTCATAAAATTTGACAGAAGGGATGGTTCTTATGTCTTGCACGCATAGCACTCTGGAAAATGGCTTAAATTTCCTTAGGGTGAAGAGGATGAAAGAGGGAAAAGCCTGCTTTATGTAACAGCTCAAACGGGTCTTTGCTCCTTTATCATCTGTGAATGTAAAAGGGACCTCTCTCTGAAGTGGCTTAAAACAGTTGCATTTTCAGGTGGGAATAGGTGAACTCCAAGACCTTTTTGGTGTGAGAAGAAGGTGAAAACCCCAAGTGCTTCATTTAGCTGCAATGAACTCTTGTGACCAAAAGTCCCATCTCTGGGAAGAAGTAGCTCTGCAAGTCACATATAATAGGGTTTCCTGAAGTTTTTCTAGCATATGTGGAGCACAGATACTCTCAGCACCATTTTTTTCATACACAGCTTTATCCGTGGGAGAAAATTACTGACTCTTAACCTCAAACTCATAATGTCTTACATGTCATTGATATACCAAGCCCAGGTTGGATGGGGCTCTGAGCAACCTGATCTGGTTGAAGATGTCCCTGCTCATTGCAGGGGGGTTGGACTAGATGGCCTTTAAAGGTCCCTTCCAACCCAAACTATTCTATGTTCTTAGTTTTCCTTGATTGTATTCCAGACAGGATGGTTGGGGTTTTTTCCAGGATACCACTGGAGGTCACTCATGTACTAATAAACAGTACAGTGCTGCAAGGCAAAAAGGTAATACAAATTATCCAAGAAAGAACTCAGCTTGACCTGAAGACTACTTTAAAATGGGATTGAGTTGGGAAATATGTTGTGTGGATATTTCTCAAATTTACAGTAGAATATATTAAAAACTCACAAGTAAACTAATGATTTTTAGTTTTTTATAAAAAGACAAAAAAACCCAACATTATTAAGCCAAGTTTGCTTTGATCTAGCTACAGTAATAATGGAAATGCAGCACTTCTCTTTGCCAAAGAAAGCAAAGAGAGGAAAAGATAACCACCTCTAGAAAACGCTCACTGAATTCACATCCATGTGAAACGAAATTGCAAACAAAATGACATGTAAAATAGGAATTTTCTCACTATGACATTTCTGATAGAAGAAAGATTGCAAAGGAAGAAGTAATAAACTCTATTTATTTCATATGATTCTTTTCCTTACCTTCACTTTCTGTTAATCCATTTTTATCACTAACTTTCAAACTTTTGGACATATCTTTGCTGAAATTGTGAGTTGTAGAGAAAATGAACTTGTTAAAATGTTTTCTCTTTTTCCCCTAAACTAAAATTTTAGTATAGATTTACAGGTCTGAGGTGAAGAATAAGAAAATGTACAACATCTCTTATCCCAACTGGTCCAAAAGCAGTTATTTTACTTCATAAAGCAAACTACTACTGGCTAGCGACTCTCTACCTCAGGCTCTAGGCCCATCAGTATTCATCCCAATACTCCCGCTGTATGAGAGAACCAAAGTCAGACAGATACATACGTTAATAGTTAAGGTATCGCTTACATATTATCAGAAAAAAATGTTTCAGAGCAGCTTTATTCACCTGCAGAAGAGGAGACAAGGTCTGCCTGCAGCATTTAGTGCTTGTACAATACTTCGTGCAACTCTGCCTTGCTCTGTACTTTTAACTTACTATTTATATAGTGCCATTTGATTCTGGTAGCTTCCAGGGGCCTTCTGCAGCTGCTGTCTCCTGCTGGCTGCTTCCTGACTGACAGGTTCTCAATTTAAAAGGAGCTGCATGTTCACTAATTAACTGCCCGCTAATTAGGGGGTGCTGGGCTGGTTTTTGTCTGCTGTGTAGGGATGCTCATGTAGCTGGGAGGTGGGAATACAGCAAGCAGAGCCTTTGGTAACTTGTGTGGGTGTTGGGGAAAAGCAGAAACTCTTCTCCAAACAGTGTGGGACACCAGTGTTGATGAGCTACTGGGCCTGATCTCCTGCACCAGTGAAGAAGGTACCCTTGGCACGTCCGTGGTGACAGCCTAGGCAGGGCTTGGGCAGGGGGACGTTGTGTCCAGGTGCCTCACTGGGGCTGTGGTTGATGGGGTCCTCCCCTGTGGGAGGTGTGTCGTGCTCCAGGTGCTGTGTATCCAAGGTCCTGCAGCAGGAGGTGTGCAGACTGATTGAGCAGGGTAAATGGGATACCGGCAGGCTCTCCACAGGGGTGGGAGCCTGAGGTGGAGGAATGTCTAGGGGCTGTGCTGGGTGGAGGGGTGGATGGGGACTCCCCTGAGGGAGGTTGTTGAAGTTCATGACTTCTGGCATCATGAGAAATGTTCCTCCTCCCTGCTCAGACCTGAATGCAGAGAGTTGGTATTGAACCTGAATAGCCATGGGAGGGGAACAGATGCTGTTAAGGGAAGCTTCAAGTGGTAGAAGCTGGAGATCCGCTTCTGTAGGGAGTAAAGGAATCTGTCTGGTGGTCAGACGTACTGCTGTGGGAGGTTTGCTGTTTAGTAGATGACCAGGTACTGGGTGTTGTAGAGAAATGGCTAAGGTTCATCCAGTCCTGGACTGTTACTCCTCATTGCTTATCTGTGTGACCATCAGTGATCCTGTTGAGGGACACCTGGAGCAAAACAAGAGTAACTGCAGGATTCTGCGTGGCAAAGGACATGGAAACCCACAGGATGACCCCTTGATCCTCCATGGAAAGAGGTCAGGTAGGAGGAGACATAATCCTGACAGGTAACAACTGGTCACACGGCTGTTGCCATAAGTGGTGCTTTGGCTTTCATGAGCATGGGTCGCTCTTGGAGGAACAAGGAGATCTAACAAAGTGGGGTAAGAGTATCTTTGCCAACAGGTTTGTAAATCTGGTGAGGAGAGACTTAAAACTTGATACCTTGGAAGATGGTGATAACTGGTTACACTAAGTGGAGGAATGGAGTTCAGGGGTGATAAGTAAATGGGGCAGGGTGATGGGAGGAAGGGCGAGACAGAACAAGCCAAAAGAGAGCCTACCTTAAGTATATGTATACAAATGGATCCCACCTGGGAAACAAAAAGGAGGAACTAGGAACTGCTCTCTGTGCAGATGCAGAACTGTGACATCCTTGGAAAAACGGAAACATGGTGGGATAGCTCACACAGCTGGAGCTCTCCAGTGAATAAAGGACTTGTTAGTAAAGACAGAAAAGGAAGACGAGGGGGAGAGTTTCCCTCTGTGTGAAGAAGTAGCTTGAATGCATGAAGCTCTTTTATACTATGGACGACATGCTGGTTGAGAGCTTGTGGAACAGCAAGGGTATTAAGTGTGGCATAGTGTTGGGAATTTGTAACAGATCCACTTCCTCACTCTGATCAGTTGACAGTCCCCTTTAAAGAGCTTGAGGAAGTCTACAAGGTAAGCAAGAAACTTGAGGCTGAGCTGCAACACAGAAAAAAGTAGTAATATACAGAATACATTGAATAAATAGTAATATGCAGAATATACTAGATTTTGTATCAGAAATAGTGTGGCCAGCAGGAGTAGGGAAGTGATTGCCTCCCTGTACTCAGCACTGGTGAGGCCACACCTCGAATACTGTGTTCTGTTTTGGGCCCCTCACTACAAGAAGGACCTTGAGGTGCTGGAGCGTGTCCAGAGAAGGGCAACGAAGCTGGTGAGGGGTCTGGAGAACAAGTCTTATAAGGAGTGGCTGAGGGAACTGGGGTTGTTCAGTCTGGAGAAGAGGAGGCTGAGGGGAGACCTTATTGCTCTCTACAGCTACCTGAAAGGGGGTTGTGGTGAGGTGGCTGTCGATCTCTTCTCACAAGTAACAAACGATAGGACAAGAAGAAACAGTCTCAAGTTGCACCAGGGGAGGTTTAGATTGGATACTGGGAAAATTTCTTCACCGAAAGGGTTGCCAGGCATTCGAATAGGCTGCCCAGGGAAGTGGTTGAGTCACCATCCTTGGAGGTATTTAAAAGACGTGTAGATGTGGTGCTTAGGGACATCGTTTAGTGGTGGACTTGGCAGTGCTCAGTTAACAGTTGGACTTGATGATCTTAAAGGTCCTTTCCAACCTAAATGATTCTATGAAAGCTGAAGCAAAAACAGACTACAAAGGAAGAATGTAAAAACACTGCACCAGTGTGTTAGGAAAGCAAAATTCAGTCTGAGTTCAAACTGGCAAGGGGAGATTTAGGTCAACAAGAAGAGCCTCTACAGCTACATGAACAATAAAAAAGATAAACAAGGAAAGTGTAGGCCTGTAATTGGTGGTCTAGTGTCAGGGGATACAGATAGATCTGGGAAGCTCAATGCTGCCTTTGTCTTCACAAGCAAGACCCCCAGGTCTCTGTGCCCAGAGACAGGGTTCAAGGAAGAAAAGAGCTACCAGTAGTGGGAGAAGGTTGAGTTTGCTTCTGCAAACTTGAGAGGACACAACTTCATAAAAGTTAAACCAACTTCATAAAACCAGAATAATGCCATACTGATTTCAACAACTGACTACCTGCTACATGGAGTGTAGAAAGTTGTCACAAGACTGCACACTCTGAGATCATAAATGTTTCAGAGATACGTATTTCAGACAGAACAGTGACAGAAATGTTTATTCAAAGTGTCTTAAATCAGCCTTTTATTCATAAAAATAGTCCAGGTGTACCATAATAAATAATTCACTCTGAAATTTCCTTTTTTGTCTCTTTGTCTTTAGTTGCATCCAGTTACTCTGCTTCTTTCGATTCATCCTCATTATTCTCTAAACTAGTAGTTCCTGTGGAGGCAAAGGAAAGGCAGGACATAGAGATGCATTTTATTATAAAATATTTGAAAGTAACCCTAGTAACCTAAAACATAATCCTTGGACTATGCTGTCTACCTCAGTCGTCTTTCCCATTGCCTTTCACTGCCAATAGTTGAATTTAACTGTTATACGTTGTTTCTCAGCTGCCAGACAGACTCAATACAGACATATGACTGCCAGCCAGCCCATATGTAACTCTGGAATAGTCAAAGAATGTCTCCTATTTAGACAAGTATCGTAAGAAACATGGAGCAAGGAGTATGGAATTCCTGTGGAGGGGGGAATTATAGTAATGGGCCAGAGTACAAGACTGCAAGAAGCCAGATTTTGTTACATCTGCTCCTCACGCTATGCATATTTTCTTCAAATCATTTCCTCTTGGTATAATTTCATCTTGCTAAACATAAAGACAAGGGGAGCAATATGTTGCCTAATTAATTATGTAAACCTATGCTGAAAAAATGTGTAAAATCATCCAGCTCTTTGATTCTAGAAATAAAGAGCTGGAAGGAACTTTGAGAACATCCAGCACATTCCTATGTTTTCATGCATTGGTATCTGCATCTGTGCTGTCTCTGACAGATATTTGGGTCCACTTTTTCTTTAAAAAAAAAAAGGCACAAAAAACAATGGAGATACCAGAACTGCTTCATTGTGGTAGGCCAGGAAATTTATTAGAACCAAGTTCAGTCAAAATTGTTATTTCAGCCCAAGAGACTTTGAGACAAACCAGGTTCAACGAACTTTTTCCAGATGGAAAGCAGTGTTGTGTAGGAAACCTGCTGAGATTTCTGCTGGATCTGATCCAAGACCATGGATCCTGTAAGATGTCAGTCCTATGCACCAGATCAGCTAGTCTGCCCTGAAGCAGGAGAGCACCTTCAGAGGTGTTGGGTAAAAAATGAGAGCAAATAAACTACAAAAATTCCAAGAGCTGAACTAAATGTTTAGTGTGTAACTCCAGGCATTTTCATATGGTTTAACAGTCTTTCTGAACCCTATGCATCGTGCTGTGCTTTGCTTTATTGTAAAATGGACTGTTCACAAATGGATAAATTTATCTTATGTTTTCATACATGAGATATGTAAGCTTATAAATGTTAATAAATACAAACAACACAATTGGGTGGAGGCCTATAGGCTAAATATGAGTAAACATAGATGCATCTTTTTGTTGCTTCTTAGTAATTTTGTGTTTAAAACAGGCTTCTGAACTGCCTGGAAGAAAACCTGAGCATCTGAATTTCAGATCTCTTTGGTTTGTAGGAGAAACAAATCATCCAGAGACTGCTCAAACCATAATGCATAACAATACCTAAAATTTGTTTCTTCAGGTTTGTTTTGCCTGCTTTTTAACTTCAGTTGAGAGAATAAGAATACACAGTTCCATTCATGAGAGAAAAGTGGAGTGCTCAAAACCCCCTGAATTTCCCAGGGTCTGAAATCTGCATTCTCATTTTTGTACCAAAAAAAAAAAAGTTTGCAAATACAACCACTTACAAACTCAGCTCTGCAAGTGCTGTCAACTGTACATGCATAGACAATGCTGCACAGAAGTGTCACTTCTAATTTGTACTGTTACAGTATAACTTCACTACTCAAAACCAGTTTACATCCATAGAGGACTGCCCCCCTTCTTAAAGGTAGAGATTCCCAGCATCTCTTCAGCTTGATAATGGACCTCTCAGCAGCAGCATGATGTCAGCTGATTGACATACATAATTTCAAACCCTGATTGATAATTGAAGAATGAGCATGCATGCCCCATTCCTCACCTTGATCCTCCTCATCTTTGTTTTCTTCTTCCTCTCTGCTTCCCTCATCTTCCTCTCCTGCATCCCTTGCTGGGCTATAAACTTCACTGGATACTTCATGAAGAGAAGGCTCATCATCCCTACCGTCAGCAGACTCATCAGTGACTGAAATATGAGAGATTAGCAATACCAAAGAAAATAAATTTTACAAATCTGCACTCATCCATTGTTTTCATGCAGCAGCTACTAACTCCTTCTGAAGTCTTTACTGACATGAGAAATCCCATAAAATCTTCTGTAACTGTTTATAATCAAGTTTGAATAACGGGCCATGATATAGACGAAAATGATTCACAAGCTTCCCAAGACAGTTATATCTCATTATGCTATGTGAGATAAAACAGACATATATATATTGTGCAGTTTACGAAAAGACTTGGAAATTCCTAACATTCAACATGTGGTAAATTATCATTAAAAAAAAAAAAAACACTAAAAAACCTCTCATACCACTTGATATTAAACCTGAAAAACACAGTTTCAAGGGATAGTCAAAGCATGGAGTTTCCAGCTATCCTGCAGAACAAACCTGCAATTGATGGTATTTTCTCCTCTTCAGTTGCTGCTGCTGCTGCTGCTGGCTCTTCCACTGCTTCTGCTGCTGCTGCTGACACTAGGGAGGCTTCTCTGGGAGAAGGTGGGTTTTCCCCATGGGGAGTCCAGAGTGTTAATTTGGTAATTTCTGATGCTTTCCATTTTGGTGCAGCAAGTAACGAGGGTTCCTCCTCTTCTTCCCCCTCTCCTTTATCCTAGAAGACAACTCATGAAATCCAGCATCTCATCTTACAGGTATTAAGAGAGTAACTAAGATGATGGTTTTGTGTACTAAAACGTTTTTATCCAGGCTCAAAATGGCAACGACATGGCCTTTTAAAGTATTTACAGGTGGAGGAACTTCAGCTGTAAATCTTGGAAGAGAACTGCACTTTGAACCTTGATGAGTCAGTTGACTATTACTAATGATCAATGCTTGCCAGCTTGCTTTCTTTAATGTAAAGTTTTGTCTCTCCCTTAAACAGAGGCCTATCAACTATGTCTCTTCTTCTGTGCCTGCCTACAGTACAAGAGCAGCAAATAAGACCTGGTGCTCTGTCTGGTAGATGCTATGCTGTCTATCTCACACAGGAACAAAGTTACAAAACAGCCCTTTCTGCCTCAGTCTTTGCTTAGGGAAGACCTTGGAATGGATCTAGGAAGCAGTAAGGTACTGCACAAAGCTTATGTTTTTGAAATTTAATCTTCTTTATTTAAAAAATCATGCTTTATTTTATCCAAATATGAAGGAGTCTTAGTTATGGAATCATTATCTGTATTGCAAGCTAATTTCTTTTAATTTTTTTAATGGGCCTTGTTCTGGAATTACTTCAGCTAAACCAAAGAGGCAAAATTTAATCTCACTTTAGTGACAGCACTGTCCCTTCTTTACACAGTCACTACACCATTCACATGAGAAAAAATTATTGTTCCTGAGAGTAATGATTTTCAGAAGCTAAGTGCTGAACCTTGAGTTCTTAAATTCATGTTTAAACTCTCACATCAATGGCCTAATATTCCAAAATCAGCACAACCAACAATTACTGAGTTGAGGATACTAGACACACATCACTTTGGATACTCATATGAATCTGACACATAATTTGAGGACCTCTTGCTTTTAGCCAGAAAAGCAAAAGAGTGTCCATATTTTGAAAATCTCTATCACTAATGATAGTATTTTTTTAATTATTATTTTGTCCTTTTCTTGAGAAAGAATTGCTGTATTGAAGAATTTTCAAAGAGTGTGTAATGGAAACTAATGTGTCAGATGAGGTAGCAAAGTCTAAGCTAAAATGTGGCATATTTTCTTGAAATCAAAACAGTAATATTAAGATATATTTCTTATTTCTATAGCTGTTTTGCACCATATTAATCAGAAACATTTCTAAACATTCATGCATGAAGGAGAAGGAAAAGCAGGCCCTGATCCCAGCTTCTCCCTACAATTATTAGAAGCTGTGGATATTAAGCTCCTAACAGGACCAGGACTACAATGGGACACATTTCCAAAACACGAGTCTGCTGGAAATTGCCATTTGTATGCATAGCATCAAGTAATTCAGAAATATAAGAAGAAATATTTTTCATTGTTTTCTGGTGTTCAGAACAAAGTGGAATACAGGCTGAATGTAGAGAAAAATACATATACATTCTTCTGTGGTTTGAAACTTCAAATGTTTTGGGAAGGTCCTGATTCCTCTAAACTTTAAGCAGAAAGGAATCTTGTCTGCAAGTAGTGCAAAAATCACACCTTGTCCTTGTCAAAGCTTACATAGTAGAGAAGCTAAAGAAAAAAGCAAAATGAAACCTCATTTAATTCTTAAGAATGCATTTGACTATTTAGAACTACTTCAACATCAGTGTCTATAAGACATTTATAGATTACTCAGCAATAGTTTTGATTTACTGATTTCTCTGATTTTCATTATCATTTGCACTATTTCTTTTACCTGCTCTGCTTGTATGTATTCACCATGCTGTTCACATCCAATATCAAAGACATATTTGCCATGGCCTACAGGCTGCACAAAGATACAAAAGAAGTCAGCAGAACTACAAAGTTAGTACATTCCAAGCATATAAATGTAAAATATGCTTTACCACAGAACTCACACAATAGTCAATAATAATACAATTTGAAAGCAAAGTTGCAAGAAACTTGGCATTCTGTCCTACAGATTAATTCAGTTTCTTATGTTACACTTATGGTGCAAGAAATACTACAAAAGATCAGGAGCCTAGCTTCTTATTTTAAGTGGAAACAGATCATATTAAGGCAATTCCATGCTAACTGTTCAGGTGAATAGAGAGTTTTCCAGCATACTTACATTTCCATTCAAAAACTTGCCCTTAAATCTATGGTTTAGGTGGATAAGTTCAGCTTCTCCTTCCTGGTTTCCATTTACCCAACCACCAACGTACTTAGATCCTGAGTCTTTATAGACATATGTACCTTGCCCATGCCTAAGGATAAAATAATAATTTGGCTTTATATTACTGAATATTAAGAATTTAGGATGATGTTATACTTGAGGTATTAAAACTGTATTAAGTAGTTGAAATTACTTAAGTTGGACTAAATTGCCAAGGTGTATTCCCTACCATACAATGTCATGCCCAGTACATAAACTGGAGTTAGTCAGGGGGTGGAAATCGCTGCTCAGGGACAAGCTATCGATCATCGGGTGGTGAGCAATTACTGGTATTGGGCATCACTTGTTCTTGTACATTCTTTTGTCTGTATTATTATTGTTGTTATCATTGTTGTTTCCGTCTCTCTTGCTGTCCTATTAAACTGTTTTTATCTCAACCCACGAGTTTTTTCCCAATTCTCTCCCTCATCCCACTGGGGGAGGGGAGAGTGAGCGAGCGGTTGCGTGGTGCTGAGTTGCCGGCTGGGGCTAAACCACGGCAGTCCTTTTTGGACAATGCAGTAGCACTTGATTTGCTGCAGTCAGCCATGCTTTGAAAATAACCTTTGCATTTTAATGCCATTGGGTGACTTGAAACATCATTGTAAGAATGAAACAAACCTATTGTGGTTAAACCATTCTCCAGTATAGGTGTCTCCATTTGCATACGTATACTCTCCATAGCCATGTCTCTGGTCATTCACCCAGTCTCCTTATTGAGAATACGATAAAAACAGTGAGGTGTGGTTTATTTCATTGTGGGATATAAGGCTCAGTTTGTAAAGTTATCATACATGAATTCTTAGAGAAGGAAAAGAAAGCTATGACACCATTGTGATTCTTTACCATTCCTTACACCATTCTTGATTCTAAGCCCTTGCTCTTTTTCTTTTGTCTGTCCCTCTCTACACATATTTATGCAGCTGACTGACCTCCCTTTCATTTTGTCCATCACGGTCTGTCTCCATTATCACTCTCCATTATGACCATGAACACAAGAAGCCATGTAAGATCCGCTCCTATCTTTAAATTTGGCAATGTATTACAATTGCATTAGATAATGTGACATTTCCACTCAAATAAAAAGAGAGACTACTTTAGTTTGACTCATTTGCTAAAATTGTCCTGTGAGTCAGGGGGCATAGGTACTCAAAAGGATGTTACATTGTGTGTCTTAACTACCCTTCAAATGTAAAAGAAATTAAAAAAAAAAAAATTACAGGTGCATATGCTCCCTTAAGGTAAGATTGGGCTGTTCTTTTTGCTCTCTGCTTCTAGTCCTCACAATGTGAATGTTCTTTCTTGCCTAGCTTAGAAAGGAGAGGGGGAAAATATTGTCCCTTGAAGCCTAACTGATACTCAGGGTGTTTCAGGTAGTCTCCTGGAGGAAGAGAAACAGTGTGAGTTTCAACTTCTTCAAAATTCAGAGGCATCCCAATCCCTGAGTAAGTGCTCTAATCAGTAGACTGTTTTTTAAGGATGGACCTAATAAACTCCTAAAATACTTTATACTGAACACATCTGTGGTTCTAATCATAATTGAGAAATAAGTAACTATATTTTCTTCTACCAAAATTGCACTGATTTGTAAAAGAGAACTTAATATTTCTCAGGACTTGGAACACCCCACTTGAAAGAAGGGCATGAGAAGAATAAACAGCTACTAAATACCACACTTCTCTCAATAATTGACATAAATCCCCGTAAATAAAACCCACACTTCTCAGAGCTTGTAATAAAAAATGAATTAAAGGAAAACATTTCATAGCAAATTTATCTTCTTAAAATAATCCATTCTCCAATTCACTATCTCCTTGCTTTTGGGAGAGATGGTGGTGATGGAAGACTGTGCCCTTGCAGTTACAGAAATCCTTGCAACTGTGTTCAGTGTTTTACCTTCATATTTCGATCCATCTGGATAAAAAAAAATACCCCAGCCATGCTTTTTGTTTTGAAGATATTCTCCAGTGTAGCAAGCACCATTTCTAAATCTGTAGGTCCCCTGAAACACATTTGGTATAGATAAGAGACTTGTCAGTTCTCATTCTTGTTTCAACCTAGTGCCCAAACTAACAGAACTGCTGAAATATGAGCACAACCACAGTCTTCTGTCACTGTCTTCTGTCACTGCCTTACCTTACCGCTTCTGAAACCATGTTCATACTCTCCATCATAGGTATCACCATTGGGTAGATGTGCTTTTCCACGTCCATGTCGCTCACCTTCTGAATTGCGTTCACCATCATACTCCTGATCAAATGTGGGGAAAAAAAAAATTAAGAGGGCTAGACCTGACTGTATCTAAGCTCATTAGAGAGATGAAAACAAATGTTTGCTCAAAGCTGCTCCAATTCGCCTTGAATCAGAGACTGCAGGAGCAGCTGGAGCATACAGACAGCTTATGCAGACATTTTGATCTGATCCTGGTACCCAGAGGCTTTTCCCCCTTCCTGCCACACTACTGGAAAGTATGGACGACTTGTTTTCGTCCAGTGAAGAAAGTTAGGCAGGTCCCAATAGAAACGGTACAGCCCCACTTCCGAATCTCCCGCGCCCACCGATGAACCGCCTCGGGAGCTCTCCCAGGCTCGGCGCGGCCGGCATATACAGTATTTAAGACCCAGTGACCGGTAACGTTCACTCTTCCCTTCCCCGACGGCACTGTCCCGCTACCCCTGCCCGAGGCGCCCG